CCTCCCCATAAATAATGACCACTCCCTTAATACAGCTAGACGCCATGGCTTTTACTGACTTTTTTGGCTGTATTAATTTTATTTTCAAGCAGTTAAAAACCTCTTTTATACATCAAGCAAAAGTATCTGTCACATATCTGTTGCAGTACTGCAGCACAACTGCAACAAGGTCTACAATATCTGCAAAATATCTGCATAAAAGTTGCAGATATTTTGCATATATGTTGATTATCTGTCAACATATCTGCAAAATATCTGCACAAAAATTGCAGATATATATAGATATGCCAATTGTTTGTTAATATACAGTATCTCAACTACACAGCAAAAAAAATTCTTATTGAGAAAACAATTCTTACTTCAAGAAAATGTTTGTTGAAATGAGAAACTAATTTTCTTAATTAGAAAAACGATTCTTAAAATGAGAAGTATTTTATTTTCAAGACATTTTTTGAAATAAGAAAAATTCTCTTAACATATCTTAAATTACATTTGTTTTGTTGAAATATGAATGTTTTCTTATGATTTTGTCATCTTCATAGCAAATCATTTTCTTAAGAAAATTTTTAAAACAAGAAATCAAATTCTTAACATAAGAAATAATGGTTAATAATAAATTATTTCTTACTTATTTTCTCAAAGAATGAAAATAAATTTGTTAAAATTTAAATATAACATCTTTTGCAATTTTTGCATTTTTTTTCTCCAAAATTATATATTTTCCCGCAATATTCTTTTAACAAGATGTCAAATGTGATCCTGGTTTTAGATTCTATATGGTTAGTATATTTACTTTAACTGTAGTTAGCCTTTTCTCAAAAGAGATCACAGTGCATATTCTGGGGTCATTTGGAGGGACAAAATATATGGAGTCAGGAGTCAAATATGTGAAAGAGTAGAAGTATCTTCTATCCAATATCAACTTTTTACATGACCAAAAATGAAATATCTCCTTTTTACATTAAACTCTTTCATTACGGGTCACATGATCATGGGTCCACCTTGACCCGTTAATTAAATAGCTTGTTTTGCCGTCGGAATACATCGGAAAATATATATAAAGCGCCGTTATTGGTCACTTGGAAATAACAAACGCAGTGATTGGCGCGAGCCTTTGCTAAAAGTGGCGTGTCATGCAACTTGACCTTCAGTTTATGCAATGGCGACCTGCTCTAAGAGGAGTCGCTTCAGTGCTGAAGATGTTTTAGGTAACAGTGATCGTGGAGGAATGTCAAGTGGAGAGCAATCGGACATTGACCGCCAACTAATGGATTTGGACGAATCGATGAGGTGAGTCTAAAATATGTTACGCGGCCGTGTCGGAAATATTTTGCGTGTTTGGGAAGCAATGTAATTTTAGTCGATATGTTCATATGTTGTCTTTGAAACATTGCTTATAATATCAAGAAATTGTTCAGAGATGCATTGAGCACTTTTCTTGGGTAAAACGGTTGTGTTATGAGCGAGAAATACAAAATCTTGCGAGCGCTGCAGAGCTCTCAGCTAGATTAATGCATGGCTCCGTCCACGTATTGACCTTTATGCACCACGCGGGAGGCGCGCGTGCCTCTTGATAATATTCGTCATTCACGTGGGCGTATTAAAGTTTCAAAATGCTTCTTTCAAAATGTCTTTTTGCATGGGTGGGCAAATTGAACTAAAACTTAGGACCATACTTTATACATTGCAGAGTACCTGTATATCAAATCAATTTTAAATTTTGCGCCAAAATCCGAATGCGTTAATATATTATTATTATTATGATTAGAGTTACGCGTATTACTGTCAAATGGCTCTTGTCAAACAGCAGATAATAGCAAGATGTAGCGTCTGTAAATTCACTTGCGTCTCACAAATAAATACACGAAGTATTGTTGTGCAAAACTGACTCAAATTTTAAATAACTATATATACTATATATATCAACGAATGTTTGAAATGGGAAAGTATTTGGTTTTATAAAACTTTTATTGATCTCGTTCGGATTTGTAGTGCATTCCTCATATAATATTTTTCCGGTTTGATAAATACCTACAATTATGCAATAGAGGATTTAGTTAACACGATATGCCCCTAACTCGTCTGTATATTTATAGTTGTATATGTCGTCTACGTATTTCTTAAACATTTTCACAGTTAAATTTCTTCACATCAGTAGCAATCTAATCACAATTTCGTATCCTCTTGACGATATAAATATTGCATATGTTTTAAATCGTCAGTAATAAATCTAATATTGTTCGTTCTGACAGCCAAATTATTGCTTTTGAAGCGGTAAAGATTTGAGATTCCTGTTGTTGCGTGATCATCTTACAACATTGGAATGTTAATTTTGTATATTTATGTGTGTATCCGCTAAACTTCCAATGCAGGCTCATAATGATGGCGGCGAACTAAAGTGATCGCGTGGAAGAAAACACGTTTGCTTCGCTGACCGCGGTTTTTAGTCAATTTAGTACATTAACAACGCTTTTGTTTAGTGGAAACCTCGCAGTTTACGAAACGAATCAGCCCCTGCTCCGAGCTGGCTTCGTTTCAAAATAATGTGCACTTATTGACACCAGAGCATAGTGTTAGTTGCATATTATCGAAAATATATAAAATTCTGAACGGTGTAGGAACAGGGGCTGATTGGATCCATAATCTGTGAGTACTAAAGAACGTTAATGTGAAAATGTTAGTTTATCTGAGTGAATATCCGCTAGAGGCAGCGGCCTTGTTTTGGCCATTTGGATGGAGACCATTTAAATGGTCACGTGACTGTTGCCATGGCAACAAAGGCATAGAAAAAAAGTAAAATCCTATTGTCCTCATATACCAACATTGACCACATTCATACAAACTAAACTGATTTTTTTTATAATTTAATGTATTTTTGGCTATATTTGAATGGGAGCCATGCATTAATCTACCTGAGCTCTCAGATTACCGAGCGCCTAATTATGTCACACATGGCCTATTGTTATCGACAAAATTTAAATACGCAGATTGAACACTTTGCATAGAGTTGCGTATTCCCAGGAAATGTCTTGTATATATAATGAGAACATATTTGGAGTACTAGAAGTACTATTTCACGACTGAGCTCTTATGCTGAATTCAATGTTCTCAAGAAACTATTTGTCAGCTATCAATGTTTACTGCATGACTCAGATATACTTATATTCACCAAACGGCTTGAGCTAGGGCATGAAACAATTAGAAATAATACAAATATTTATACTAAATAGTATATACTTGTAACTATATAATGTAATTCACCTATGGTGTGAATTTATATATTTTTTATTACATTGAAATACATTGAAAATATACATAGAGAAAAATAGTATATACAGTTGTGTTTATGAGGGTATGAGGAAATGGCTTGTAATCATATTTTTTATTTTTCTTTCAGCTATGAAGAAGAATTTCCTGATCTTGTTCCAAGTGTTGGCGATGCTGGTGGCGATGACACTGAGATGTTGAATCTCCCAGAAAACGACGATGCCAATGCTGATGATGAAGATGATGACTACATTCCTGGTGCTGAGATTGGAACCAGCAGTCCAGTTTGTGGTAGTGGCACAAAATAGAAATAGGGCAGAAGCTTCACTCGAGTCGGAACCTTTGAAGTTTTTGTGCCGGCACATGTTACTTCCGGATCTTGGCCGCCATGTTGAAACAACCAACTCTGGTCCAAAACATTATAAACTGGTATGGCGAAACTTGTATTTCATAACTTTAAATGGGTATATCGTCATTATTCTATGGTGGATGTCATTGAAATTTTCAGGATGTACTAAAGAAAGGTAGATTATTAATTTTATTATAATAAAAGCTTATTGAATGATGCTAAA